ACCACAGGCTCCAAATCAGCTGAGCATAACCCTGCCTTCACTGGAGAATCCAGCCAAGACAAAGGGAAACAGATCCAAGAGATGTGGAGAGATGGATCCCTGTTTACATAGAAACCACCACATGGGAGAGTGGTGAGAATTAAATAAATGAATCCATGTAAAGCTTTTAAACCGCTTAGCTCATAATAAGCTCAATATAAATGTTGTTTATGGCTGCTAATACTGTCTCTCCTGCTACAATCAATCTCTACTGCTCTGAACAACAATTTCTTTCTCTCTTCACCTTTCATGTTCTGCTCAGTAACAAGGGAGTGTTGTTGATAGTTGTGTAAGGTTGGATAAATGGATGGATGGATGGATGGATGGATGGATGGATGGATGGATAGATGGATAGATGGATGGATGATGGATGGATGATGGATGGATGATGGATGGATGATGGATGGATGGATGGAGGATGGATGGATGATGATGGATGGATGGATGGATGGATGGATGGATGACGGATGGATGGATGGATGATGGATGGAAGGATGATGGATGGATGGATGGATGGATGGATGGATGGAGGATGGATGGATGATGGATGGATGGATGGATGGATGGATGGATGATGGATGGATGGATGATGGATGGATGATGGATGGATGGATGGATGGATGATGATGGATGGATGGATGGATGGATGGATGATGAATGGATGATGGATGGATGGGTGGGTGGCTGGACGGATGGGTAGATGGATGGATATAGATTCTTATCTCCTTGGGGTAGGAAATAATCTATTAGTTTTTACTTGCACCCCTTTTCCAAAAACATAGGAGTCAGTTCGATGCCTCATATGTGTAATTTTCCACTGTGTTTGAGGAAAGAAAGAGAACTGGGCCAAGAGGCTGAGAAAACATGAGTAAATTACAGGTGATGCATTTTCTGTTGAGCCTACATCAAATGGTTGAGTTAGGTGTTGTGGTGTTTCTCACCGTGCGTTCACTGGTCTCTCAGTTGGAGATCTCATAGTTTTGATGACAGGGCATACGGCTCCCTCACACCTTCCCTCATTCAAATCCTGCCAGTCCTTTAGACTTAGTTCACCTTCTGCCTTTTCCTTGAATTACCCCCGTACGCCCAGCAGCCCAGCCCTCTCTGCATCCTTCTTGGCAAGCTGAGGACCCTGTCGATGGCAGACACCTTACATCAGTCTTTCTCTGGTTCTTTAATCCTTCCTCGCTGTGTGACCTTAGACAAGATACCTGACCTGGCAGGTTTTGCCCTTTCATCCTATCTCCTCATTTTGGTAACAGATGGCATGACTTCAGATGTCCTTCCTGCCTCAAATTCTGTCTCTATGGTTCTCTTTCTCCAGCCTTCCACATCTCGGTGCTGGTGAGAGTCAGTCAGCCTTTACCAAACTGCTCGGTACTTGTTGATTTGTATCAGGACCCTAGAGTTACTCCTTAAAGAGGATTTTTAGTTTAAGATGCAACACTAACTTACATGGAAGAAAAATGTGTTATACTTAAATCACCTCTCAGCTCCCCAGAGCTGAAAGCTTTGAGGTAATTGTCTCATTAATTCTTATGTACTTTGCAGGATAATTTTTTTTTAAATCTCAAGAATACAAACTTTCCTCAGAATTCACCTGCTAGTTGGGGCGAATTCAAGAGAAGAGATAAAGGAAAAGATTCCTGGTTCTCAGTCTCAGTGACCCTTGTCACTGCCAACCTCGGCAAGGCTGGCGTGATTGAGACTTATTCCTGGTCAATTTGTAGAAACTATTCTGCAGGCGATACAAAACATCAGATGATGCAAACTTTAGATTCAATTTATCTTTGCAATGCAATATGTGCCAAATGATGTAATGGGGTAAGAGTTCAACTCCATAACTCAAAATCCTCAGCTCAAAATCCTAAATGTAACCACTCACCAGTTATAGACTTTGAAAGTCTTATTCAAAGAATACTTGAATTTAGGGCCTCCCTGGTGGTGCAAGGGGTTAAGATGCAACCTACGAAGCTGTCCACACACAGCCACTGCAGCACAAGTTCCATCCACAGCCAGGGAGCTACCCACATGGTGCAGCAGAACTCCCCTGCTTCCCTGCTGCTCCCCTCAGCAGTGTATTTCAGTCAGTCTTCCTCTTCTGTTCCCCACTCTGTCTCTGGTGAATCCTCTTACCCCCATACCTCTGGCCTGTACCCCAGTTTGTGCATGCATAAATAAATAAATCTTAAAAAAAAAAAGAATACTTGAATTTATTCCAGTGGTGTGTGATATTTAAATGAGAATGCATTAAATTACTTAACCCAGGCTGTGAAGCTGTCCAAAGCCTCAGCGCGCGGGTTCAATCCTGGCTGGCCAGGGAGAAACCCACATGGCGTGGCAGACCTCTCCTGTCTCACCTGCTGCTCCCCTCAGCAGTGTATTTCGTCAGTCTGCCTGTTCTGTTCCCCGCTCTGTCTTTGGTGAATCCTCTCACCCTTCTGCATATCTGGCCTGTACCCCAGTTCTTGTATAAATAAATAAATCTTTTAAAAAAATATTTACTTAACCCAGCATTTAGCACATCCTCAGGACTAAGTCCACATATGCTACTCCTATTTTAATTGTAATATTATTATTTCCCTATGGCATTTTCTTTCCCCTACCTTTTTTGTAGAGCTTACTTTGAGATTTTAACAAATACAGATCAAAAGATCTCAGGGTATAGGTTGGGAAGACTCAATCCTTAAAGAACTTCATCCTTAAAATAAATTCACTTGTCATACTTTATCTTTCTGTGAGGTTAAAAGGAGGAATTATATGTCATCACAAGAGCACAACCACCTGACCTCAGCAGCTAACTATGAGCTAATATAGATCAAAAACTCTCACCACCCCCTCCAGGAAATAAACCTGTTAGGCAGTTACAGTCTTAAGCCCAATACTCATTTGCCCAATAAAAGATCCATGACCAGTCTAGTTATTTTCTAACTTTAGACAACATTATCTATGAAGTGAATTCCAATCATTTTTACAGGTTAACATTTCAACTGAGATGTCTTTCAGTTTTTCAAACAAAAGGAATCAATTGGAAAAATTACTAGTGTGTGTGGGACAATGTATGCAAGGGTCAGATTTTTCCTTCTTTTTTTGTTTTTGGTCCTGAAAAGAGAGTTAACAACCTTCTGTTCCTTTGGAGATTTTATGCCAGGGAATAATTAATTTCAGTCTATTATGGAATTCAATACTGCATAAATTTTAAAAGTATTATTCTTGCTTTGATAACTGCAACTCTATTTTATTATTCGATATTTCCTGTCACCAGCCAGAAAGTAACATATGACTTCTGTTCAGAAAATAAAAGAACAAAATTAGCAATTGTGCAAGCAATTGAGGAGTCATACAGACTAAATGTTCAACCTCAAAATAACAAAACAGAGGTTGAGCCAAGATGACCAGCCACCTGGTAAAAATTTAGTAGTTGTTTGAGCAAAAGGAGAAAAGGATACTTAGAGATTGTTTAGCTTCAGACTATTTTTCCTTTCAGCCAAGCACAACCAATGTCAGATTCCTGTTTGGGAATCAAAAGCAAGATTTGCAACATGGAAGGGAATCTCGTTTCTGAAATTTCAATCCTGAGCAGTATACAAACACAGACAGGAATCCTGAGGACACTCTGTGACATTTTCCCACTCTAATCTCCAAGCTCAATGAGTCTAAAGTAGATCCTGATGCATTAAATTTACAAAAAAGAAAGAGACTAGATTCAGAACCAGCTTCTAAAGCCTTTTTTGGATTGCATCCCGGCAGAGAAACCTTGTCCCCATCCCCCCGACCTGGAGTTCAGTGCCACCCCCATCACATTTCTTAGACGCAGCATGAGAATTATTTCTTTTCTCTTTATCCTAACCCTCTTGATCAGGAGGGTTCTGAGGTCTAGTTTCCCACCTAGCCATCCAGAATGGAACGTCTCTTCTTCATCCATCACTGACTGGCATCTCTTTTGGTAAGACACTGGGCAGAGTGGTAAAAGTGCCTTCACGGTCCTTTTCTGATCTTTCCAGTATCGTAGGGTTGGATATCTCTTCTCTATGCTTGTTATTCCAGGAAAACTCAGATTTAAAAAACGAACCATTGGAACCATTTTCACATGTGCAAGCATTAAGTACGTTGACCGTGCTGTGTGGCCATCACCACTGCCTCGTTCCCCAATTTTTCATGACCTCCAATGGAGCTCCTGGGCCAACAAAGGAGTCTATAATGCCTTTCCCACCACCTACGACAACTACTAACCCACTTCTTCTCTCTACATCACCTGTTCCGTATGTCCCATCCTATAAATGGATTCAGACGGATGTGGCCTCTTGAAGCTGACTTTTTTTCACTCAGTATGACATGTTCAAGGTTATCTATGTTAAAGCAGATGTCGTTACTTTATCCCTGTGTACAGCTGAATACTACTCCACTGGATGGACTCTTCAGAAAATATATTTTCCCACCCTTTTCATTTTAATCTCTATTGCGGGGATCTAAAGTGATTTTGTAGAGAGCATATAAATGAATCATTTTTTTAACTCCATTATGTCAATCTCTGCCTTTGATTGGAGAATTGAATCTACTTACATTTCAAGTAAATTCAGTAGGACTTACTGCTACCATTTTGCTCTATTTTTCTGTATATTTTATATGTTGTACCTTAAGTCCTTCATACTGCCTTTTTCGTATTTCACTCAGGTTTACTGTATCATTTTGATTTCTTTCTCATTTGCTTTTTTGTATATATTTAGATAATTTTTTAGTGGATACCTTGGGACTTGCAATTAACATCTTAAATTTACATAACTATTTTAAATTCATTGAAATTTAGAGTCAATAACAAAAACCCTTATTATCACGGATTATTTATATATTGCGTACACATTTAGTTTATAATTTTTGTTTTATGCAATTCTCTTTAAATTATATGAGGAAAATAAAGGCTTATAAACCAAAGCCACAATAATCCTGGCTTTTATATTTACCTGTGTAATTATCTTCAGCTGCATTCTCTATTTCTTCATATGACTTCAAGTAACTGTCTTGTGTCCATTTATTGAAGCCTTAAGAATTTCCTTTAGCATTTCTTACAGGACAAGCCAACTATTAAAATCTCCATCTTTTGTTTACCTGGAAATGATTTCATTTCTCTTTCATCCTTGAAAGTAAGTTTTGCCATATTTTGAATTCTTGGATAATAGATTTTAGTCCTTTGGCAGTTAGAATATGTCACCCCAGTGCCAACATGGTTTCTGCTGAGAAATTGGCTATGAGTCCTACTTAGGATGCTTTGTGGGTTATGAGTCAATATTCTGTACTGCATATTTGAAGTAAGGACACGTGAAGGTCACACAGCTGGACCTGGAAGTGGCGACATCACAATCACCCACATTTCACTGTCTCCCACCCAGATCCCAGGTGGCTGAGAGACACCAATCCCGCCTGGTAAGGAAGTGATGCCACACAGGAACTTCAGTGTCACCTGGACCTCAGAGCCACCCCAGGTCCAGCCCCAGCTCTCACAGGCGAGTACCCACTTAGTGGCTAGTGCAAGGAGGACACGTTTCCACATCAGGGGCCTCCGCTCCCAACCTCCACCAGTACCTCACTGGGTTCTCAACCGACCACAGAGAAAAAATACAGGCGGAGTAGCTGAAGAGGGAGATAGTACATTCAGTTTTATTTATTTATTTTTAAAGATTTATTTATTTACACATACAAGAACTGGGGTGTAAGCTAGAGGTGTGGGGTGGGGTGAGAGGACTCACCAGAGACAGAGCGGGGAACAGAACAGGCAGATCTACTGAAATACACTGCTGAGGGGAGCAGCAGGCAAGGCAGGAGAGGTCTGCTGTGCCCTGTAGGTCAGCTTTCTGGCCAGGGATTGAACTTGTGCTACAGAGGCTTGTGATAGCTTGATAACACTGTCTTTAGCCCCTGTGCCACGAGGGAGGCCACTATATTCAGTTTTAAACAGGCCCCATTTGAAGTCCCAAGGGGTCAGCCAGCCATGTGGTGTCAACAGCTGGGGAGAAAGGTCTGGATGGAGGGCCCGATTTGGAAGACATGAGCAAATAGTCCATGAGGAATGAGGTGTGTGAGGTCTCCCAGGGGATGTAGGGGTACAAAGAAGATGACCCAGGACAGGACCTGGAGAGCCCGTGGAAGGGGGGGGTGCCAGGGACACTGAGGATGACACCAAGCGGTGGGAGGAGAGAGTTCTCAGGGGAGTGGGCGGCAGTATTGGCTGCCTGGAGGCTGCAGGCCAGGCAGACTGCGAGGAGAAGGGCAGACACTCTGGAGGTTCTGACTCTCGACAACTTTGGCACAAAGGGAAAGGCAGGAGAAGCACAGGTCTGTGGCCAGAGGAGTCGTGCAGAAAAGGGAGGATTTTGCTTCATTTTCATTTTGAAGATAAAGAAACTCCCGTGTCTGAAAAGGGACAGGGAAGCTCTCACTGAGTGAGAGAAGTGGAAGACGCAGCAGAAAGGGAAATCCTTTCACTTCCTCTGAAAAATTAATGAGAACAATACCCATTTGAGCAATACAGAAGTAAATAAGTCCAAAATGAAGCCTGGCCCCAAGCACGCTCCGTCTCGGGGGTCAGCTCTGTCCACTCCACTCTAGATTTTCCCTTTGTGCTTATTAACTTCTCCAAAAATAGGTAGTTCCCCAGTTAATTATGTCTACTGCTCGCTTCCCTGGATGAAAATGTAAGGTCTGCAGAAGCAGTTTTTTCTTCAATTCTCTGTCTGGCACAGGGCATATGCTCAATAAATATTTGTTGAATAAATGAATGCTGCAAAAATTCTGGATTTTTCTGTATCTAAAGACAGACTCTTACAATGTACATTATTCTTCCACTTTCTTCTCCCGCATAATACGACTACATTCTTGCGTAGCGATCTCCCTTATTCATTTTAACAGCTCAATCTTGGCTCTACCAAGATTTACTTAAATAATCTTGCACTGACAAGCACTGCAGATATTTCTAATTTTTATTATCATACAGGAGCCTGTGCATGTATGATGTGTTTTGCTTTCTTGTGGGGGAATTTTCCAGCCTCGATTCCATGAAAGCAGAATTGTTGACAGCGCAACTGAAAATTGACCTTGAAGGGAGGTGGAATGGATGTGCATTTCCCAAGGTGTGTGAGCGTGGGGTGGGAGCAAGAGCAGAGCCTGCCACAGAGGAGCAGGTGGCCTCCAGCCAGGCACAGGATGTGGACAATGCCTTGAGGAGGGGAGGGCAGGCCTGGGCAGGGAGGCACCTGTGGGACCATCAGAACAGCAGGATGAGATCTCACCCCCAGAGGAAGAGACATCGCGGTTACTTTCCAGAAATCCTCTCCCGTCCCAGAGTTGCGCTAAGAAGGGCAGTGCAGGCCCGAGACCCTCTTTAGCACCCTCCCCTGGGTGATTCTTCTCACTATTGCTTTGTGCAGGGAAACAGCCGGGGGCTCCTGGCTCCCTTTAAAAACATAATTAACATTCCCAGCGGGGTGGGCCCTGCTCGCTGCTTGCAGATGGATGATTCCTGTCTGGTTAGCGTGCATGCTGGCTTCGGAGTAACAGGCAGACGCTGCTGTTAGCTCCCTGTTCTTTAATTAAGGCAGACTTTGGACGCAACCGTATTCTCAGCACTGGCTTCACCCATCCAGGGCGCCCCCCACGCCCACCTCCACCAGACACCGCCCTGCTTTGAAGCAGCGCATGTATCAGGACCTTGACCCACATAAAGTCACAGGCTCACGTGGGATGAGAAGCCCAGCAGAGCAAGGCTCCGGAGGTGTTCTAGAAGCCAAGGGAAAGGAGATGACTCTGCGGGCAGCGTGGAATCAGATGCTTTTGCAAAGGGCTGACCAGGTGGAACACGAGAACCAGCACTGGGGCCGTGTCAGGAGGTAATCCAGGGCCTCTTGGCCTCACTGACGATTTTCTCTATGTCCACTCTCAGCCCCAGCTGATGGGCTCCCTTGAAAGTAAGAGCAGCGTGATTTCCGCTCTGCCTTTCCGTGCAGCCGTGCGGTTGACCGGACCCTTCTGCGCAGTGTGGTGTTTGCTGAAGAAACCCTGACTTGTGCACAACGGCTCACGTGGTTTACAGGTTCCTGAAGTGTTCCTCACCTCCCTGTGACGGGGACGCCTGCATTCTACACCTGCCAGAAGGGACCACCTTTGCTTATTGGGAATAGCACCCTAGCTTGCGCTTGGGGATAGAACTTGACATAATCAGAAACCAGCAGGAGATCATTTCCAGGAACAGTCACGAAAGCCACTCCCTAGGCATCTGGGACATCGGGTGAGAGTGCAGCAAGACGCTGCCTGGCGAGGCAGACAGGAGGGAGGGAAGAGACCGCCTGGTGATGAAGTAGCAGCTGCAGAAGCCTCGAGGGATTCCTCACCAACATCCATTACTCCAAAGACCTGCCAGCTCTACGCCCTCCCCACACGCGCTGGGTCATTCCTCACCGCCATCCCTCGTCCCGCTCTCTGTGAGCCTCCTCTGAAGTCAGAAGAGGAGCTGAGAACTACATGCCCCATCACCACCTTCACGAGGTTCCTGGTCAGACTCTGAACGGAAGGCTCTTGGGGGACTGGCAGGGCAGAAGCACTGGCTGACCTGAGCATGAGCCAAGCCCGACTGAAGAGAGTTCTTGGGGCTTCTTGGGGACCCACTGTCCTTACAACCCAGGCCTGCTGTTCTCCAACTTTGGGGTGAATCATGATCCTCTGGGCACTATACCATCACTAGTGCCCATGAGTTTGGGTGGCTGGGGAAACTAAGAACATGAATTTTTAACACTGCAAGTTGGGAGACCAATATAGAGCTACCTCTATAGATTGAGATTCCTGGAGGAGCTTCCCAAAGGCTCAGGGTACTCACAATACCTTCCAGATGAAATCTTGAGAACTCCCTGACCTCAATTATTTCAATTATCTGTATCAGGGATATCCAATATCACTTTCATGGATGCCCAACAGAACTTTCCGCAATGATGGAAATGTTCTGTATATGCGCCACCCACCTGTGGCTATTCTTTGTGTGACCAAAAAAAAGGGAACGTTTAGTTTTATTTCAGTATAATTTCTATATAAGATGAGTAGCTACCATGTTTACCAGGCACCGCAATAGCTACAAAGGAGGCTGGTGAAGAGATGAGGAACAAAATCTTTCCCAAGTCCCACCCTTGATAGAGCCACTGGTGAAAAATGAGGGGCTCCAAAAAATGAGGTGTTCTAATCAGGCCACAGACAAAGAGAACTGTTGCCCAAACTTAAAATCATTGCTGAAGTGGAAGCGAACACAATGACAGTCTTAACACTATAAGTTTTTTAGAACTGAGAGCCAGGATCAACTCACTGAACCTGGCCAAATGGTTGATCAGGCTATCAGTCAGGATAAGCTAGGTTATGCTGCAGTGACAAACAGCCCCCAAACCTTAGCAGCTCTACACCAGCGCTCTATTCCTCATCCATGATGGATGTGCACATTTGGCCAACAAGTGGGCTCTGTTCACGGATGTTACTCTATTCGCTAACACGGTCACCAAACAGAGAACATGGCCAACAACACACTGGTTCTCCATCCTTCCCGCACGTGAATTGCCACGGCATTTCTTTGGCCACTGTAAGTCACATGACCACATCTGAGTGAAAACGACATGGGAAAATACAATCTGAGCCTGCAAGAAAAGCCACAGATATTTGATGAACAGCAAACTGACTCTCATGGTTGGTTTTACCCCTTTTCTTTAGCTGTATTCTCTTTACACTACCTTATCCAAAAAGCTATCTACCTTAATATTTACTGGGTTACAATAGTTTGTTCCCTGAATGTACCAAGCAATTCAAGGAAACGGACCAGCACTCTTGAGCTTTATTTGAGCCATTTAACATAGTCATGCACCTCATCTGGGATCCTCTTCCCTATGAAGTAGATGGTCTCACGCCTGCTTTACAGAAGAGAAAACAGACTCATAGAACTTTCATTTTCTTAAGGTGACTCCAACAGTAAGAAGCGGAAAGAGCATGTATTTGAACTGACTTTTCAAGTCTGCTCTCTTTCCTCTAAGCCATGCTATCTACCAACCCAGCAATAAAGAAACAGCATTGCTGTAGAACCATCATGAAAACAAACATGTTTGTTATGTGTTACTACCACACATTCACAATCCATCACCTCAAGAGATTTATGTATTGAGTGACTGTTTCATACCCAGAATTTAAGCCATCATGGAGCATCACCCCAAAAAAGTAAATTATCATCTTGACAAAGATTAACAGACTCACAAAGTTGCTC